AACGTTGGCAGACAATCTCCACTTATCAGTAAACTTCTTCGCCGCGTCAATTTGCAGTTGCAGTCCCTCAGGGGTGTCCGACATACCGACAAAATCATCCGCAAACAGCATTCTCGACACCGACGTTTCCGTATCCCCTACTTTCACTCCCTTCCGGACTTCCTCCACGACTGCTGCCGGGAGGGGGGGGTGTACTCATAGTCGTGCATGCCGTAGTCGTTAGACCATTGACCTCGCATCCCTACAAAGCCGGGACGGAGCACGCCGGGTTCTCACCGGACCATGCTGCCGGGAGGGGGGGGGCAAATAAGCGTCAATCCGTACACCAAATTGCTTCCGTAGGACAGGGTTAACGGGGGGGGGGGGGCTACGGGCTGTTTGACGCCACAGGGTCTCACTTGCTGCGCCTGCTGCTGCCAGAGGACCTGCAACTGCATGGCCATCTGCGGATCAGCCTGCATCAGCGCCTGTTGCTGCAGAGCCGCCTGAAAGAATGCCACACGACATAGGGGAGTTGCACGAGAGGCCCGGGATGCACGTTAACGCTTGTTTTGGAGGAAGACTTTCCAGCGACAACAACAAAAAGGGACTGCAGGATCGCCGCGCATAGAAACATGAGTTGGCATTACACCGCAGCTTGCCGCCCGCACCGAACAGGCGTCACACGGACGGGATCTCGCTTAAAATACCTTCCACCGATGTAATTTAGTCGCACCCTAGAATAAACTTCCAGCCTACAGCACAAAGTTCAGAGGTCCAGGGCATCGGCAGCGGGCGAGGAAATAACGCTGAACGCGTCAGCGGCCTTAACACCTAAAAACTGGGCTGCTAGCTATTGCTCCAACTGCAAACAAAAACGACGCGACCACAAGAACGGTTTCAGATGTTTCGCCGAAGAAAGCATTTCGTCAGGGAACAAAACATATTTTGGCACAGGAAACCCTGGTGCGATGTGGGTGCTCTTCCTTTCGGAGCCTTGTCCAATAGCATACCGCACACCAGGTTCACCTGTGCTGCCAAAGCTTCCGGAGTTGCACCGGCAGCCCCGTTGCCCTCCGCACTAGGTCCCGCTGCCTGCTGCTGTTGCAGTTGCTGCTGCTGCTGCTGCTGCTGCTGCTGCTGCTCTTGCAGGAGGGTGTTTTGCTGTGTGTGTTGGGCGACCAAAGCCGGGGGCAGCGGTAGCACGAGGAGAAACAAGTGGGTGCCCACACACGTGCGATGAAACAAAAAAAACACAGGCATGAAGCAGTCTGGGTGGTACGACAGCGGTCAGCGAGAGAGTGCTGTGATCACGTATCACGGAGAGGGCGGAGACGACTTCAACCAGTCCGATTCTCCAAGCGGGGTCATGTCAAGCACGCCGGCTAGCGGAGCAATCGGCAAAAAGAGTTCATTGCCTCCACGCTCAGCGCAGGGGTCGACGGAGAAGGAAATCCAGGTTTTTGGCTTGCAGAGATGGCCGATGAAGCGCTTGTTGCCAATTGCCAGTATGGAGTTTGAGTCTGCCAACCACGTAAAGGCGGAGTTGAAAATGCGTTCAGCACGCGGCGGAACACGGGACGAACCGCAGCTACTGTCTAAAAACAAACACAGACTAAAAGTGGGTGCAGAATTCGCGAAATCACTGACCATGTGCTGACCGAGCGAGTGCTGCATGGCCATGAGATGCATCTGTAGTTGGGCATCCTGATCAATCGCCGTCGCGTGGCCGACGTCGTCCTTCTTGAGCTTGAGGCATACATCCGACGGGAAAAAAACGAAACGAACAGCAGCAATCAGGTACAGAAACACCGAAAGACTATCGACATTGGTTGGGGGGGGGGTACTCTTACGTTTTGCATGTCTTAGCAGTTAAACCATTGACCACGCGTCCTCGAGAGCACGGAGCGTTGTTCCCACAGGACCGATCACCGATGGCCAATCGTTCCTTTCTACTTTGCCAAAGGTGGCTCAAAAATGTCTTCCCTAGTCTGTCTATCCTAACGATATCCCTTCCCGCCTTTTCAACCCACCTCCTATGCCCCACTACAGCTACCGTCCTTTCCTCTCTATTCCATGCCTCAAACATCTCCCTGTACGT